CAGGGGGGCCCCGGGCAGGGGGCGAAAGACCCTAGGAGCCACTTGCGGTGGCTGGGGTCTATAACTGCTGGCACTGGGTAGCAGCTCAGTGCATACGACGCTGCACAGAGGGTCCGGGAGCAGACCAATCCCTGGTACTGCACAAGGCTGCCCAGGCCCCCAACCCCTAGCACAAGGTGAAGCACCCGCTATACAGGGGTGCATGTGGCCCTAAGCCAGGCCAACAGCAGCAGAGTCAGGTGACAGGAAAGCCTGGTGGGGAACAGAGCTCAATCTGGAGAGCAGGAGGCTTGAGAGGGTGTAAATTTGCATGCCTGCCTGCCTCCTTACCCTTTAATGGTTTTGTTGTAATTATAAATTTTTATATAGTTAAGTAATTGATTGACTGGGCCAGACTCTATAGGGGACGGAGGCAGCCGCTGGGCTCCTGTGTTCCTCCACAGCACACTGCCCTGCCAATAATTCCCTCAATGGAGAGGAGAGTACTAACCCATGTACACCTAGGCTACAGAAGTACTAAATGATGGCACAGTAACAACAGCGCCACAGGGGCACATGGGGAAAACTAACCCCAACTTATACCATGTACAAGGCCAGGTTCTGAACCAGCTGTTATGACTCCAAGGTCTCTTTCCTGATCTGTAGATAGTTCTCTGAAAACATCAGCTCAATGTGCAGTAACAACCAAAAAAACCCAAACCTAATAAAATGTTGGATCTCATTAAGAGGAGAACTGGAAACAAAACAGGTAATATCATCTGGCCATTATGCATATCAATGGTTTCTACCCCATCCCCACAACCTTGAATACTGTGTGAAGTTCTGACATCTGAATCTCAAAAAAAGATGCAACAGAATTAGAAAAGGCAGCCAAGATGCTCTATATGAAGCAACTATAATAAATCAAGAGATCAAAAAGGCTAGGATTCAGCTTGGACAGTAGAAGGCTGAGAGGGGATACGATAGATGCCTCAAAAACCATGAAGGATACGGACAAAGTGAATAGGGAACCATTATTAATCAAAACCCAGAATACTAGAACTAAGGGTGACCCACTAAAATTAGCAGGAGACCACAGCAGATCATAAAGGCAGACAGTACAGCCAGATTCAAAAAGGGATTAGACAAAAATCATGGATGATAGATCCACTAATAACTATTCAACAGAACAGTCAGGGATACATTTCTAAACCAATGATGGTGGATGCCAGAGAGGGTATGACAAGGAACAGACCGCTCTCTTATACCCTGTCCACATGTTCTCCCTCAGAGACAAGTTACGAGGCTAGATGGACTACTGGTCCAACCCAGTATGGTGCTTCCTATGTTCTGGTGTTCTTTAGAAGTAACAATTACATCACACCAACTTCTGCAGGTACCATTCAGAGATAGTTAGCCATGTTAGTTTAAGTGAGGCAGAAGGTAGGTCTTGAAGGTGCTACCCTGCCCAAACTGGTTCAGAAATAAGTAAAAGATGCCTGGTCAATTAGTTTCAAAGCTGCCACCCTGACCTACCAAGTACCATTCAGTAACAAGCAACTGTTACATCTGTGTCTCTTGATGCTCCCATGTTGGTTTGGCTTCATTAGTGGCAGTAAAGTGGGAAACAGCAGGGAAAACTTAGGCCCCTTTTAACAGAGCACAAGGATCAGTATCTGTTAGCATGCAGAATACTCTACTAGTTTAGTTATTTTTCAGGAAGGACTACCAATGAATCATTAAAAAGTTAACTGTATTTTCCCATCTGTGAGCCAGAGCAAATTATTGCATTCCCAATTTTTTTTTTAATCTAGGAACAGGAAAAATTGGCTACCATGAAACATTGCCAAATGTTTTATAGCCTATCCCAATCATGATTTTCCATACATTTATTTACCAAGCAAGCAACCAAGCAATGTAGCTTACGAACTTGGTGAAATCCGGTTCTCTCAGGGTAAGCTACTTTAGCATTAAATCTAAGCATGGAGGTGGGAGAAAGTTTAAATCCTGGTAAAACAATACAATTCAGAACTGAGAGGGTCCTGGACAATTCAGGGGAAACCAGTCCAGTTGACAAAATATCAGGAGGTCCCCTTGTTCTAAGCCAGGGGTTGGAAACCTTTCGCCACTGCAGGCTGCTGCTTGCAGCCCAGGCCCCACCACAGGCTGCCCCCACTGCCTGCCTGCTTCCGCCACAATGAGCAGAGGCTGCAAAAGGAAGAGGTAGAAAAGGGCAGGTAGGGATGCTGCTTCGGATGCAACAAAGAATAAACTGTAAATAGAACCAACAGGGCCCTGGGGACAGCTCTGCTGCCATCACCAGAGCATGCTGGATTTCCTGAGCTGGTGGGCTGGCCCAGGTTTTTTACAAGCTGGATCAGGACCTTGGGCCATAGGTTGCGATCCCTGCTCTAAGCAAAGAGATCAATAACTCCACATACAACATAACAGTTCCTCATTGAGGTCTGACACTATTTCCACCCCTTAAACAAGAGTGTTACTAACCTGAAGAGGGCCAAACTCAATATATACACATTCACAGCCTACAGCATGACAGTGAACATACTATACTGCTTTCTCATTTCAAATCTTTCCCATGAAAAAGGAACACCTAGGCTCTTAACATTCCCATTACAGTTAACTGTGAGGACCTAAAATCAAGGCTTTTCAAAAACAACCTTAAGGAAGAACAGTTTTTTTGTTTCTGAATTAAAATGTACTGCCTTTCCCCCTTTAAAAACAAAACAAAAACACCCTCATGCAACCTAAGATACAATTTAAATTCGTTTTTTAAAACCTAAGGTAAACTGTGCTAAGAAAGTCCTTACTTTCAGGTATTAAAACATTACATCTTAAAATTACTAGCAGTTCCATTAAACAAATTTAGATTCTCCAATGAAGAAATGTAATCCTACCTCATACTTCTTTTGAAAAAAAATATGTAAATCAAACTACCTGATAGTTTTCCACTGAAACAACTGATTCAATGCATTACCTAACACTAAGCAAATTGCCTTTCTGCTATTGCTAACTTCAGTTTCCTGTGGAATGTAATATAAATAAGTAACTGTACCTGAAGTGGAAATACATGGCTCCTGGTAGCAGCTAAATGGCTAAATGTTATGCTTTCCTCTTAGAGAGGTATTTGGGGGGGTGTTGATATCTTTTACTGGACCAACTGTAGAGCTGGGATAAAGTTAGGCAAGGTTTTGAATGCAAAGCACATCTCTAACACTACCATGTTTTCTATTGTCATGCTCCTAACAGTTACACCTGAATTTCATAACTTTAAACAAGGAAAAAGGAATAATTTTTCAGGGATACAAAATCTGATTTGAAATCAAACACTTACTTGTCCTTAACACACATTCAAACACAGAGGATTTCTCAAGGGACCATCAGGATCAGAAGTCATTGTCAGTCACATGCTGCAAAAGAAAAAGAAAATTGTACATTACAAAAAAAACCAAACAAACCCCCCATTTTTTACTATTAGATACAAAATAAAAAATGTTTAAAATAAAAAAATATATACCTAATTTGGAATCTCAGCTGAAAACAACTCGTATCTTCAGTTAAGTTTTATCATAATTGTTGTACAGGTTCACATTATTACTATAACCTTTGATTTTACAGTTCCAAATAATACCCTGCACCTTTAACAGTTCCTTAAGGTAAGTTTTGCTTTAATTTTTCCTCTGTTATTAACAGAGAAAGACAGAAGACAACAGGGATGTTAATCTACTATCACCAGATATATAAGTTTTCACTTATACTATCTCCAAGGTAGTATCCAGTCAAGTATAGTAATGTTACATTTGTTTACAACTGGATAGCTTTAAAATAGACTGTAACCAGTTCTTGTATGTTGGAAGGTCCAGCCAAATGTGTAATTTTAAAATTCAGACTTTTGAGCTATGTGCAAAGACGTTTAAAATTACCTTTTACATTGAAATATTATAATCACTACGTATTATATAACCATGTATATATTACCTTTCAAACATGAACCTTTTAAAAGCAATCATGGAAAACTTCAGGCATAAATGAGAATTTTGGTAGTTATGATCTGCAACTAAAATATAGCTGTAAAACCATATCTTTCTTTTGTATCAGCATACTGCTTAATACATCATGCAAGAACAGCAAACTATTTTCAAAACAGTGCATGCTGTCATGTTCCTATTGTCTAGTTTTCCTATGAAGTTCTGAGAGTGATTAATCCATTTTATGGTGCACATTGTACAAGGTATGATTAAGTGTACTAATTAGTGAGCATTTCTAGGTCTCTATAGAGAATTACAGTAACTTAAGAAAAAGTTTCAAACAACAGCTGTGTGATTGAATTGATTTATTGAAAACCGCTTGAAGCACTATGTAAAGCAGAGGCTGTTCAAGCTAATTAGAAAAATAAATTGCTCTTGGGAAATATTTATGAGGCATTCACATGTAAAAGCACACACCATAGTCCTATCCAAAATCAAGAGTTTCAAAATTGATACTTCTACTCAGACTACTTAATAGATAATCACTAGTAGTCAGGTGAAGAGCTTTATTCAAGCAGATCATTTCTTAAGAAATTAAGCAGAAGGCATTCATATCAACTGGTTGTGCATGAATTTGTCTGCTGTTTTAACTACTCCTTTGACAATACTGACTATAGCTTTATTCATATGAACTGGAATTACCAATTAGAGGAGTGATTGACAATGCGGTCACGTAAGAATAAGCATCAAGAGTAAATTGTCTCCTAATTAAACACCTTTGTAATACAGTTTTTATGCTAAATCAACCCTGCTAATCAGAAAAACTAGGAAGAAGATGCAAAAAGGAAAAGATTCAAAACACTAAGTAAAATGTTCCGTCAAAAATATTCAATTGGACAATACAGGAAAAGATATCCTTAAGATGTCCTTTAGATGAACATTTCAGTAAAAACTCCAACTAGCTATAAGTATCACTTGCTTGATGTTTATCCCTCAATCTTCACTGGCATGACCTTGCCCCAAAAGGGCTATGGAAATGATTTACAGAAATTGCTACCAATTAAATAGAAAAATGCAATTTACCTGCAGATATTCAAATGTATTCACAGGAATAACATGTTTTTATTAACTTCTAAAAATATTTTCCCATAATTTTAAAATTAAATTTTAATTTTTCAAAAATGTCATTTGTGGCAAGTCACGCTAATCTCCAATCTGCTCACTTTGGAAAATCTATATAAATAAATGGACAGCATCTGTAAGGGTCATGAAGTTTCTTCAGTTCTTGAAATGACTGAAACTTATGACTAAACATGATACAGTTTGCCTAAACGGCTAAAAGAATGCCACTGAACATATGAAGCACTCATGGGTAGGGACCTATGGAAATTGTAATTTCACAGGTTTTGCAGAAATCATAAGATGTGGTGTTGCCCACAAAAGCAGGCAATATCCGTGAAATTCGCAAAAACCCCCCAGCCAACTCACTGAAAATGACACGCTGACCAGAGGGAGACAGTAGCCTTCACAGCCTGTGCAGCCTGCCGGGGCAGGTAGGAGGGGGGAGCGGTGGATGGAGGGAGAAGCTGCCCAAAAAAACTGCCGCCCCTCACTGCTGATTGGCTAAGGGCAGCCTGTCACACAGCCCTGCCCCTCTTCAAAATCAGTGGCAAAGGGCAGGGCTGCATGATGAACAGCCCTTGCAACCAACCAGAAGGGCAGGGCCACTTGGCCAATCAAAGGCATGGCAGGGCCCTGCCACGATCAGCCCATGAATATGGTGGCCGGATCCACAAGCTCACCATGAAATCAGCTGGCCACCTCCTCAACATAGGCAGACTGCTACTCATAGGAACTGGGCAGGATGAGGAAAGAGCCACTTGCAGGAAGAAATGTTGTTAGTTATAGAAGTGATTTGACACTGAGAACTACTTCTCAAAAATCTGAATGTGTGAATAATGTCAGATGCTATTTTGAGAGCTAAAAGCATAGAAAATGGCTTCCTCATTAATTTTCTATTAAAGTCATTATTGTAGCTATTGTTTTACAGGCATGCCATGTGACTGGAAATGGAGAAACCAAAAAAATGTATTAAGTGATCAGCAGTACAAAAAAATTGGAACTATGAAAAGTTAAAGTGACTTGCAATCAATTCTAGAACACTTCAGATGAAAATGAGTTCTTGATGACTTGTGTCCATAAGTGTTGTCCACATAACAGTCCCACTCACAACCAACCACACAAGTTAAAAGCTTTAAGGGTTTGTTCACATGGGGAAGTTAATTCCAATTAAGTCAAGGTGTGAATTTAAAGTACATAGCTATTCCTGATTAACTACCCCTTTAGAGGCTTTTATTCTGCAATAATGGTATTGACATAACATACCTTAATAGCCATGCACTTGTCATTGGTTTTGTGCACCTGCATACATTACACTGGTGCCTGGAGTTGAGAGACAATGGAGCCAACAAGCAAGTATTCCAGGGTAGGCACCCACAGGGAGTTGGTGAAAAAGCTTTTAGGGAATATTCCCATGTAGTAAGCCATTAAAAGTAATCTCTGTCCCAATTAACAAATGTTTGGTCATGGTATACTTTTATCAAAACTTGCAGTACATCTACAATATTAAATGATACAAAACGTTCAAGACGAAATGCAAAAGATTTAAATATAACTGCATATTTATATATAAAAAAATCATTAAAAATTTTGCTTCATACATGAATAGAGTAGCATAAATTTACTAAAGAATATTTAATTGATTGTCCATTATTGGACCTCTCCCAACCTGACACCACAATAACCAACAAATAGGCGATTGATACATTGGCCATACAAGAAAAAAAACCCCACTCACCTAGCCCAAAAGTATAAGTTGCCTTCTTTGATGCTGTTCTGTAAGTCTACATAGGATAAAAATATTTGATTTTTAAAAAGTGAGAAAAACAACATATTATAAACAGAAAGTACGCAGTGTTCCCACTATATCACACAAAATAATTAATTATATATCAGAGTCTGGGCCACTGATCCTTTCAGAGGTGCCAGAGGATGCCACACAATGTTAGCACTGTTAAGTGTGTAAACACGATTCATAAATTCAACAAGAGTCGACAGTGTTTAAAACATTTTTACCTGTCGTGATCTTTCCAAGTGCTTGGCAACAGAGAAAACTGCTTTATTATTTTGCTGTAGTCAAAAAATGAATGAAGATAAAGCTATCATTTTCTGAAGGTAAAGTCTAACAAAGTTGACAACCCCTGTTCTAGACTTTAGAGTAGGGGTGGGCAAAATACAGCCTGCCAGCTGATTGGATCTGGCCCACAGGCAGGCACCCACCAAGTGAACAGATCTGACCTGTGGGCAGATGGCAGCCACGCGGTGCCAAGCAGTTAGGGCTGGTTCCAGCGTGCCAGGCACTCTCTCTCTCTCTGGCCCAGGGCTGCCACAAGCGCAGAAGCAGAAGCATAAACCCATCCATAGCTGTAGCATGCTCCTTGCCAAGTCTGAACCCAGCAGCTGCCAGTGGCTTCTGGGTCAGGGCTCTGGGTGTGCTATAGCTGCAGGTGGGTTCAGGCTTCTGCAATGGTCACAGCCTGCAGCTGTAGCATGGCCTGCACTCCCCAACCCCTTTCCCCGTGCCTGGAGCCCTGACCAAGGAGCTGCCAGCTACATTTGGACAGCTGCCGGGTCCAGACTTAGGAGAGGGGGTGAGGAGGCACACTAAAGCTGCAGCCAGGTGGACTCTGGGAGAGGGAGTGCTAAAAAAGCTGCAGGTGGGTTCAGGCTTCTGCACTAGTTGCAGCCCCAGGAGAGGGAGAGAGAGGTGTAGCCCTCAGCATGTCAAAAGTCATTAAGTGGCCTGCCAGACCAAATAAATCGCCTACTCCTGCTTTAAAGCATTATTAGCCACATCAATTTTGAAGTTATGAGGCAGTGACTAATTTGGTTGTAACACTGGCTTATAGCTTTCAATTCTGTCCAAATAGTCTACACACTACAAATGTGAACCATCTAAAAACAAAAGTGGAAATGGTTTCTGAAAAAGTCTAGTAATGCAGAATAACACTTCAGTTCCTAAAAACTTGTACAGGAAAATCTTTCTAGTGCCTGACTAGACACTTCCGAAGACAACCATACTAGAACTGTCAACTGGAGAAAGAACTTGAGGGTTATTTAAAAGAGTAGCTAGTGTATTTTAAAGTTCTGCTCTGAAGATGAGAATTATATTAACACAAGGTGAAACAAAGTAAAATTCTACTTGATAGAACAAAATCTAGCAGCAACCTGAATTCAGTAATATCAAAAGCATGTTACAATACAAGTCAGCCAAACTCTACATCTCTACATTGATAAGCAGTGTTTTTAATTGGTAAGTTATTAAATTATTTCATCATCGTACTCTTTTTACTAAAAAACACACTTTCAAACAACTCTGCTCATCTCATATTAATAAAAACCTATACAGCTACTTCCTTCAAGGTGACAATACAACTTCATTATTCTTGTCCAAGAACTAGATGTTTCCTTTTCTAAATGCAGAGATAACTGCAAGGCTTATTTCTTTTTGCAGCACATGAAAAAGTTGCAAGGTTAGTTAACCTTGATGATCACCCACTGTAAAAGTATTTTTTAATACAAGTGCTACAAAAAATTAAGCCAGTTTAGTTAGGGCAGGATAAAGAACATGGCTTCAACTCCACTGCAGTTCTCAAAAAAATCAGTAACTAAATCTGTGCGATCCTTTTCCCTACTAACTCTTGCCACCAGTACCACTTTCATCATATGAGCTTTCCATTTCCTGTCTAAAATGTATTAGAGCTTCACAATAAAGTAAAATTGTTTATGCAGTCTGGCATTTATTTCCATGGGAAGGATTTTTATGCATCTATAATGATCTCACTACACTTAACAGTGGATCACCCACTTTTTTGATTGTAAGCTATGTAGTGAACAGACACCCTAAAACAACTAGTCCCATTTCCTTCCCTGTTTATTTATCATCCAAGGGGCTCAATATTAGAAATAAGAACATTATTTGGTCAGTTTTTAAATTAAATAGTAAAAAAAAATTTAAAAACAAACAAGTAAACAAGCTTCCTTTAGAACTAGAGACAGAAATGTGTAAAAGACAACCTTACAGGGGTGTAGGTTGTAGCCGTGTTTAAAGGACATAGGCAGACAAGGTCCTTTGGGTGAATCTGTTATCTTTTATTAGACCATCTTAAATAGTTGGAAAACAATTATTAAGCAAGCCTAACAAAGGGTTTTTGAACCTGAAAGCTTGCTTAATAATTGTTTTCCAAGCATTTAAGTTGGTCTAATAAAAGATATCAGAATTCACCCAAAGAACCTTGTCTGCCTAGAAGACAATCTTGCTGGTATTCTCATGCCAGAGCCTCAAAACATTAACAATTATTTTTTTTTATTGTTCTGGAAGCAAATACAAGTGATTGTATCCCCTGAAAAGGTATGATGTAACCAAATGCAATTTATGAGGGAATGGAGTAGCCAATTTCTAAGTAAGGGGAAAGAGCCACTAGTCAAAGAGGCTTGTTGGTCAAGGACCTGGAACACGAATGGTGGTAGCAGCTGAAGGAAAAACCTCAGCTAAGTAAGTCTTAGGAAAGAGATAAAAATTAAGTGGTTATCATGTTCAGATAGTGCTAAAAGAATCAGTAATATTTTAGTCCGCTACTGTATTGCTTATGGCTCAGATACAAGGTACATGAAATGCAGCTAAATCTGAGTTGCATTAAAAAGTTTTGAAAAAAATTCACATCAAATGCTCTGGCTTATGTCAAACCCAAAAATAGTTACCCATTTCTGTAGTTATAGGGATAAGTAAAAATGGGAACAAATATTTAGTACTTTAAAGATAACTGACAGCCATTTTAAAAAGAAAATCAAATACAAATGAAGGTTAATTTTTAAACCAATGTAAATGAGAACAGCCTATTTCCAAAAGTCTGAAAAAAAAAATAAGACAGCAAAGCTTTAACTACAGCTTCAAGGATATAACAAAATATGCAAACACATAACAGCAAAGTCCCACAAACTTTAATAAAGAGATTCTGGTGCACTACAGCAACCTGTTTTGTATCAGTAGGCTCAATATATCATTTGAGATTGAATGCATCTGGCCTCGCTTTATCAAGGAAAAATAGCAATGTGTTGCCAGTTGCACCTAAACATGTTATCCTGATTTTTTTGCACGTCATTCAGTAATTTTAACATGACGCTATTTTCAAAGTAAACAAATTCTGTTTTCAGCCCCCCCAAATCATCTTCCAAATAAATTATATAATTGACGGGGGGAGTGCTTGACTGAAATGGGGCTGTCAGCAGTTTAAAAAAAGTGCACAAAGGTGTTAAAGACTTATGTTCCAGCAAGGTACTCCTTGTTATAAGATGTTAAATACTCCTAACACTTTCTTTTTTAAATTATTAGTATGCATTCCATCTCAGGGACACTACAGTTGTGTTTTTTATTTTATTTTATTTTTTATAGGCCTTGTCAGGTTTCATTTACCAAACCCCCTAGAGTGTTTTAGTAAGCACTATATTACTGCGATTTTTAAATGAGGCTGCTATTTTTCAGATATGATAATTAACTTGGTCTCACTCACTTTGCACACATTTAAATGACAGGACAGTGTTAGTTACAGACTGGAATTCATTAGAATTTTCTGAATATTTCTTATCTTAGTGTGTCAAAGGGGCTCAGTTGTTTTGCCTGGTATATAGGACACAGATGAACCAAAGTAACAAGTTGTTGTCGTCAACGACTGATGATGACGTGTTAAACTGTTAATTCAGGGTGTCTTTACATGTGCTGGGGGAGGGAAGGACGAAGGCACTTTAATTAACAGTGCCCAGAGCCACTCTAAAGTGCCCGCAGCGTCTCTCATATTCAGCACCCTAAGCTTCAAAATAGCAGCAGGGGCACTTTAACTAAAGCTCATTTGAAGAGTTTTATTTAAAGGGCCCCTGCTGCCATTTCGGTATGGGGACACCAGATACATGAGACATGGAGGCTGCTGGAGCATGCTAATTAGCATGCTCTAATAGACTTAACTGAGTCTGCTCTGATGCGCTGCAATTACAGTGCATAAGAGCAGCATCCCCACAAGTCTACAGCATCTTTGGTTCTTGTATCTTCCTATACACCAGGCAAAAAAAACAATGTAAGCCCCTTCACAAATGGAAACTGGGTGAAAAAAATCCAACTTAACTCAGTCTTAGAAAGGTAGGGCTAGAAGGGATCTCAGGAAGCCATCTAGTCCAACCCTCCATTCAAGGCAAGGTCATGCCCATCCAAACTATCCCATACAACTGCTTGTCTAACCTATTCCTAAAACTACACTTAACCCTGTTACACAGATACATGGTATATTCCCCCAAAACATCAAAAGCATCCTAACATGCCACTGGTAAAGTAGGGGAATACTTTCCCACTGCTGCAAGCGTTAGTAAAATGTACCTGAGAGATCCTAAGAGGGCCATGCCCCTGACTACAGAGGAAGGCAAAACACTCAGTCCATACCAATCTAACGATGGGGTAAAATTCCTTCCTTATCCCAAATGTGGTGATCAGTCTCACTTTGAGGGGAGGGTAAGACCCTCTAACCAGGACACTGGCATACCCCAGTCAAGATCCCCAGCCTTGGCTGCAGCCAATACTGAGTACTTTTGAGGAAGGCAAAAAAAATCCTGACACCTGCACTGTATTTTGCCCATGTCTGCTCTATAGGCCAGACCTTTAGTAACAGGCATGAAAAAAAAAAAAAAAAAATCCTTCCCAGTTCCATGTGGCAACTACAAAGCCCGGATGCCTGGACGGGGGGAAATCAAACACCTTCCACTCTGCTCTTCAGCCTGGGGACAGCAAGCATAACTCTACACCATCATACCCTCCAAATGAAGCGCCAGAATCCCCCTTTCTGTATCCCCTCCATAAACTTATGTCAGGTGCTTCGATCTTCTTTCACAACTAAGCCTATTGTAGAGCTCTGCTTCATTTTCCTGCTGCTGAACATGGTCCTCTCCATATTAGTCTTTTTGTGATCTCTCAGTGACCTGCTGGCAAAGGGGCAGTTCCTGGGCTTCCAAAAGTTGCTCTTTGCAGAAGAACTCCAGTCATAGCTACCACTCCTGACCAATGCCTATTCAATGTTTATCTTCTTGAAAACCTCCAATGCATGAGATTCTACAACTTCCCTAGCCAGGCTATTCCACTGCCTCATTATTCCAAGAAGTTTTTCTGATACCAAATCTATATCTACTTTGTGCAACTTCAAGCCACTGGTACATGTCCTGTTCTCTGCAATAATGGAAAAAAGGTGTTCTACCTCTTCTTTAATGCAACCCTTCAGATATTTGAAGACTGATATCATGTGTTCTCAATCACCTTTCCTGCAAACTGAACATGCCTATCTATTTCTTTCAACCTTTCCTCATCTGGCTTGCCTCCCAAGACCTTCATCATTGTTTTAAGCCTGCCTCTGTACCCCTTCCAACTTTTCCACATCCTTTTGAAGATACAGAGCCCAAAACTGCACAAAATACTTTAGATGAGGTCTAATCTACACCAAGTAAAGGTGTGCTATCACCTACTAGGGGTCTTGCACCTAAAACCTCTACTGATTCAGTCCCAAAACACATTCACATATTTCCAACTGCGTCACAACACTTGATCACAAATTGAGTCTGTGATCCACCAAGAGTACCAGATCTTTCTCTGTAGTGCTGACATCCAGCCAGATGTTAGCCATTTTGTATTTTTATTTTTAATTATTCTTCCTAAAGTGTATCATGTTACATTTGTTAGCATTGTACTGCATTCTGCTGGCTCTAGCCCACTTTCCCAGTCCATCAAGGTCCTTCTGAATTGTGTTTCTGTCCTCCAGTGCGTTTGGAATCCTTCCCAGGTTCACGTCACCTGAAAGTTTGCTCAGGAAGCTCTCTATTCCACATAAAGACGACAGGGTCTTCACTCTGGTTACCTAAGCCTCAGATACAATTTGGGCTCGTAATGTTATTACCACCATTACAGTTGCACCAGTTCTTACCATTGATAAACTTTCCCTGGCAAAGATAAGGCTTCAGAGGCTTGAGATTCTTAGGCTATTAAAAGAACTGTTCATCTTAAAAAAAGTATAGTAATCTTTAGAGGAAAAAACCCTACGTCAAACACCAAAAAACAGGATGTGATGTCTCAAATATTATAAAGACACACGAGAAACCTAAATTAACTGGTTAGAAACCACAGAAAACCAACATCCTTTTCTGTTGCTCCTGACAGTTCAACAGCAGTATCTAACTCAGAAAAGATATTAACTGTAAGAGACTGCAACACAGGGACTAATTAAATATCAACAGCTAATGAAATTCTGAAAAGGAAGCATTTCCCTCCATCACAGCCTGAAAGATGGAAAGCACTTCTGTGGAATCAGGCTTGATACCACCACTTTATTGCAGGGCTGTAGAAATGTCCTTACTGCAGGGCCAACCACAATAAAACTCTCAAGCTTAAGGGAGTCCCATTTGTAAACTGAGCATATTTGATATGAACGCCATTACCGGAGCGTGGAAGATGGAATACCACGATGTTCATTTCAGAGTGTCACTTTTTGTTTGTTTGTTTTGTTTTGTTTTTTTACTGTAAGTACACTACTAGACAATGTTATCACACAATTTGACCTACTGGATTTCTTTACAGGCAACAGTGTATCAAGAAAAAAGAAAAGGTTCACTTGCATCTGTCTACATAATGTACTACTAACATAATAACTAATTTGCCATAATTCCTGTACCTTAGTTCAACTCTTAAAAGAAATAGACAAGCTTATATGTTCTTTAACTTCATTATTAATCCTACTTGCAAGATGGATATAAATCAAAAGCAGATAAGCTTGTTAATGCATAAAAACAGCAATTTATTCATACACGGTATTAAATGAAAAACATGAAGCTGCTGATATATGAACTATGTTTTGTTCCATTAACTAAATGTTTTTATGTTTAACAACTTCTAGCACTATGTATACTTATCTGGACATGTTAACTGAGTTGATAAGAATCTATTTTCTGCCTTTAAGACGACATAACCATCACCACAGCAATTGCTACGATAAAAAAAATCCTTCAAGACACCTGCTGAAATCACTTGTACAAAGTAAATCTTAGTTCAAATGGCAGAAAATGGTCACGGAAATTAAGCAACCAAGATGTTAGCTAAAAATGAACACTGCCAAAAATGTTAACATAGGGCTACCTTAACAACATTAATACAGGAGCCATGGAACACACTGTGATTTGTGTCAAATTATAAATATGGGAGTGTTTACATATATGCTAAGGTATAATACATTGCACCTAAATTTCAAGATAAAGAGTTCTGTTAAATTAAAGAGATAAATCACAACCACGTTTTTTAAAAAAATAATCTTTCATGGCATATCTGCTATTCCACTTTTAACGACATTGTTTAGAATCCAATGGCTTTCCTTTCTGGACTTCAAAGCTATTCAAATAAATGTCCTGAACCTGGATTTCCATCTATTACCAAAGAAATTAGATAGTGCTAGGAGGTCATAAAAAGATAACTTTTTTTTTTTTTTTTTAGCTTTAGTAACTGTGAACAGAATAATTTTATTTTTATTTTTAATATAATGATATAGCTGAATATTCTTTTGAAAAAAAAATTCTGCCTTGTTTTCAATTTTTTCCTTTTAAAAAAGTATTAAGTTTTACTAAGCAGTAAAAGATACTGAAACATCTTTTAAGACTGATGTTCACAGAAAAAAGGTAATCCAGATTAACAGTTTAAGCATGATCCATGCTTTTTTATTTCCAAAATTCTGAAAAGTAGAATCCTTAAAAATAGTTCTAATAATTTATACATTCCAGAAAAATAAAAGCTTAATATAAAATATACATATAGCATAACCAGTATCTATCATATTAGTATTTATTAATGTCGCTATACAAATTTAGTGATGATCATAATTTATTACCTTCACATACAATGCTTTAATCCATTAAATATATTGTTCTTGATAGAGATATTTTCTATGTGCAGGCTGATAAAGAGCTCTTACCTTAAATTAACCAATCAGCTAGGGAAACATTTTTTCTTTAAAAGGGAGGACACAACCTTCCACATATACAGCTAGAGCTCGGTCAGCCAGCATTCGGCAGCAATGATAATCACTCTTCTTGAAGACAGCAATACACCAAACACTTACAAAAAACCTAAGAGCACTTATCAAGCTCTTGGTGAAAACAGGAAATACAATCAAACTAAACTCAGTTTGCTTCAGTAAACACATGTGACCGCTGCTCAGTCATCACCAAGTCTATTTCCCTTCCTGAAACTCTAAATATGTCAGAATGCACATTTTTGGTCTGCAATTTTATTTTCCAACATCTCCAGTGACTTGAGGAACCAAGGCACCCTGATGGATTGCTGCTTGAATCTCCTGAGAATGGCAGGTTCAATGTTACTATAGCATTACAATTAGTATTCACTCATTCCAGTACTGCTACACTGTTATAACTGAATTGGACTAAGAGGTCAACTTTTGATCCATTATACACAGGTCAGAGTGGTATGTAAAATATTTGTCTGAATTCTGAACTGATCCTCAAGTTTTCCATCTTGGTAGAGATTAGAAAAAAAAATAAAAATAAAAAGCATCAGCCATGCTTTTAAACAGCTAGTGTTTATTATGTGTGTTTCTGTCAATTTTAGTTTCAAAAGATTTCATGCTTTAAATGAAAAGAACTAATTAAAGCAGAATTTTAAAAAATCTGTAACAGGCTGGGGGGGTGGGGAAGAGGGAGGCAACTGTTGTTCTTCAAAAATAAAAAACTTTAGTGTACACACAATCAGGTTTGTTGTTTTGGGTTTTTTGACGTGCTCCATGTTAAATAAGACAGTAAGTTTAAGTCAGCTTTTGAACTCATTTAAAACCAGCTGTCAGGGGGGGAAAGAAAGCGAAGAAATCAATAAGCACATTCAAATAAAGTTCGATTTTTCTGCAATTAAATATTACCAAAGAGCAGCATGCCCAAAAGAATAAATATCCACCTGAACCTTTGAAGTTCAGTTTAAACTTTCTATCAATTTATTACCAGAACTCTTGGAGAACAGAAAAAATTGTGTTTAACAACTTTTCATTATTAAATAACGAAAGCAATTGCAAATGCTAGGCTGTAAAGGCAGATAAGGAGCAGCATTCTTCATATCACTATTCAAGAAATTAAATTACTTTAAATCAACAGATAACCAGCAGCAGACTTTTCACAATGACAACCCATGTGTCTTGGTCACAGCTTTGGTCTTCCAATTCAACTTTTGCCATCAGTTCTAACGGATGTGTGCACCATTATCATACAAACAGCAGCTAAACAATCATTCCTTGCACCTGGTTTATATTAGCCTCCTTACTACATCCACCCTGTCCTAAATTTATAGTGTTATCAACTGAAAACTGTAGCAAACTCCTGAAAAGAGAATTATTTGGGCAGGTTACTTATCAAAGCATTCATCTTCTGTTTCATGCCCCTATTCGCAAAATTTAATACTACTATAGCCAATTCTACTCAATAGTGTACTTAAGCTAATAAAGCTCTTCCACAGTCTCAAATAAAGGTCACCAAAGGAGAACAACAACATCCTTTTATTTCCATCATACATACAATCCTTTGAAGGAATGTTTTTAGTATCAGCTGGTAGAAACCTATTAGTCTGGCTGAAACCTAGAAAACTGGAAAAGCCAAAATTTCTATTAGCATAAACAAGAGGGGGGAAAAAAAAAAAGTCAGCCTCAAAATGCAGACAGAATCACCTCTCGGACAGTATGTGACAGGCAGCTGTTTAATATGCTGCTCTCTTTCATCAGGTGTGCAGTTATGCCTACAGAAATAGTTAAGTAGTTCCTCCAGTTTCTGATTTTAACCTTGAAAAAAACCTCAATCTCTAGAGACTCCTACAGTTCATGGCTGTAAGGCAAAGCATATAAAATAGTTTCCTATTCTTGTAGATGCCTGCTTTAGCTACATTTACATACCCCTCTGATGGGCCATTTAAGACTCATCTTGATTTCTGTAAGTAAATAAATCCTTTACTTTAAAAAAAAAAAAAAAAAAAAAGGTTTCAGAAATAAAAAAAGACAGCCCTGCCACTCACTGAGGGTGTGGATACATGAATGCTCAGAGCCCTTTCAAAAAAGAGGAACATTTCTAAAGGCCTACAGCTGCTACACTAACTGTTGTGTGCAAATGAGCTGAGAATGATTCACACACAGCAAACTGACTCCAAAGTTACCCCTGGATGAAGGAGTCTTAAAAATTGGAGCAAGTATGAACATATCAACTGATGCCCTTCTGAATGGTTCCCGTTTTGAAAGAGCTCCAAGCAGTAGCATAGTGACCGGGGGGGGGGGGGGGGGGGGGGAATAGCCCCTGGGGGCCAGCTGGGGGGCCTCCCACGTTTTGGGTGGAGCACACTC